CAGCATACCACACAGTATTAGGATTATTGCACGCTGATGAATACATTGCTGCATATCGTCGAATAATTCTGCGCAATCCACCGGTCTGAACAGAGAGTCAAAAATGTACTGTAACACTACAACCAGAACTATCAAAAATTAATACGAATTAGACTTGAAAATGCCCAAAACTCATTACAGATGTTCATCAGCGAGAGGAATGAGACGCAAACAGTGGTCAGATTTCTATTTTCAAGAAGCCCAGCAAAAGCCATGAGCACCGCAGCACGCCGTTCGAGAAGTAATACAGCTTTAGCAACGACTATTGCGGAAAGCAAAACTACGAAGTGCGCGGATAATGAAGGATTTCACAAGATGAAAATAGTTAAAATCACTAAAACAGCTCGAACTGAATATTCTTGCTCTTTATCGCTTCGCCTCTAAAGGTACTCAACATGAAAAGGCTCAAACCTAAGTAAAAATCACATAAAAAACACCGTAGAAACCTGACAGACATGGCAGTACATACAAAAATTCACTAGCAAAATAAGCAAATTCACACGGACAGACCTTCCATCCCGTTGCTCTGCTTCATCGCGGTAGAGCTCGAGTCTCCGACATACCAGGAATGCGCATCTCCGTGCCAACACCATGTTTTGTGTCAATTGATCAGTATATTGGCAAAAAAACATAAGAAAGAGGCGGAACAAAGTTTTGAAATGCGGCTGACTGCTATTCCAAACGACTCCTGAAAAATTTGTACTATTTTTTTTTCCTTTTTTTGCAATATGGTGTGCTGCGAAAGAAAAAACAATTGGTCAGCGCCCCGATTGCCGGTACGAACATCAGTTTTCTGCACAGTTCCTACAGGTCTTTTTTCACCAACGGCACTAGTTTTTCCGGCAGATGCTTCTAGCTAAACGAACTGAGGCTGGCCACCAGAACTGTCAGGAAATATTTCCTTAAAATTTTAGCTTTCTAGTTTTTCTGATTCTCGAGTTAGGGACTTACCGGCTAGAAATTTTCACTGGCCCGTACGTGAGAACTACGCGTAACTGGGAGCAGAGCTTGAAGTCACTAAGTTCTACGTAGACCGGAAACATTCCTCTAAAATTCCAACTTTCTAGCTTTTCAGATTCCCGAATTAGCAACTTATCCGTAAAAGGCTTTAGCGGGATCGTATGTGGGAACCACGCATACCCGGGGGCTGGATTTGAAATCACTAAGTTCTATGTGGGCAGGGAACATTCTCTCAAAATTTCAGCTTTCTAGCTCCTCTGGCTCACGAGTTAACAGCTTGCCTGCCAAAAAATTCGGCGGGCCCATATGTAGATACCACGTGAGTAAGAGCGCCCGTTTGGAGGATTTCAGCCCGTACGTGCATGAAGATTAAGTTCCCAAAATTTCAGCCCTGTAGTTTTTGTAGATCTTGAGATGAAAAACCGTGACAGACGCACACACGGACACACAGACACGCACACACAGACAACCCTTCGTCAATATGCGTTTTTTGCATTGCATAGATGTAAAAAATGCATAAAAATGGTAGCTAATATGCCTCACACTAGTAGCTAATCAAAAAGATGTACATATGTCGAGTTACCATTCTGCGTGCTTGCAGGAGATTGCACAAAACGATCATTGAAAATATCCAAGAGATCCATCAGGAATTCTTGCTTCTCGATCATTCCATCCTAAAAAAAAGGAATAGTAGGGGCATGAAGAAATTAGGCAACATTGAACCGGCGAAGAAATCTAAAGATAAAGCACGATGTGCAGTGGTAGCCACTGAAATGAATCAGTAACCCGTGAAGGTCGGCAGTGACTTCAAGTCACAGAAAACTATCTACTGTAATGCGCAGGAAAGAGCTGTGGATAGGAATAGGACTTTAAAAAGTACAGGGTAATGAGACAAGATTTTTTGATTTTTCATTCAGCATACGTCGGGCGTAAATACACGGGATTATATGCGTTCGAAAAAATTTCCAAAGAAAATTTGTGGAATCTTAGCCAAGTGAATTCTGCATGCCTAAAAGGAATCAACACAGTTCAGTTCTGTTATTAAATCAGATGTGAGGAGCAAATTCGGCATGAATGTATACGACTTAATGGTAAGAAATATATACGACTTAATGGACCGAAACATTTTTTTTACCAACATTAATAATTCTTTACAACTCATTCATTTTTAGTTCATATTTTTCCAAAACCTTAAATAAGCGCAAAAAAGACGTTAGATTGAAGAGCGTAAAAAAAAAAGGGACGCTAAATTTTGTTGTGTTCTCCACTGTTTTCTTTCATTTTCTGTTCATTGGATGAGTTTATATGATAACCTCGTAGGCATGTTTGCATATCCAAATGAAGTGTGGCCATCGATCGGTGTAGACAATATTCGATTCCAGCTTAGCGCTATCGCTCATCTGATTTAGCATCAACTTCACGTATTTGGTGAACAAAGCCGCGTGCTCTTCAAAACATAACATAATTCATCAAAAAAGCGACCAAACCACAAAAGGTGAGGCTGGGATGGAGTAGGGCAATCAACTCTTCTCCCCAGAGCAACACACAGACAGAGAAAACGAAATTGTTCGTGTACAACGACTAACCAGAGGCAAGTTGGTCGCCGGTTGATTTCTTCTGTTTATTGACATTACTGGTACAGCCCTGGCCACCGACAGCAATCAGTTTCAAGAACCAAAGGGCCCGCCCGACCGGCACTTTATAGTCACATAGATATTCCAGAGCATCCTCCTACAATGAAACGTTCGAGAATTCTACCCATACACTTCATCAAATATTTAAAAAAAAACGAACTTTTTTGCGGAAAAATGGAGGCTTCCGGGCCAGCATAGTCAAAGATTTTCCAATCGCCAAGTCAGTGAACCACTCGCTGCGCTCCTTGGATTTTTTTGCTTTTTCCTGCAATGCTCACTTACATAAGAAATTTTTCGGTAGTCACATCTGACACATTTTGTTCTGTATGAAAACATGGCTGTACAGTGCCAAGTTTCTGCTATGCCATTCGTAATATAATTATTAATGAACCCATTTTGTTGGGTGGCCAGGAAATGCTGGCCCTAGCAGAAATACAAAGATTACGCTGATCCGAGTAACTGGGGCACGCAATTGAAGCAGATCGCCGAATTTATCGCCACAAATACGAGATCTAATAACGTTTCCACTTTACTGCCGCATTCACAGAGCTTCGAATAAATTTAACTTCGGTAAAATTCTACTTTACATATTACTACTTGTCATCTATAATACTTTCTACTTCTACTAACATAAACTTTCTACACTTTTACAAGCATACTTTATAAAATCAATTTACACTTAATTCATATCAATGACAATAACCACAGTCGTCGTACTGAGGAGATCCAGTTGTGGTAATGGTAAGAAATGTATGTCACTTAATGGACCGAAACATTTCTTACCATTGCAGTAATTTTATTAAAATAATTTTACTATTTTT